CTAGCAGTAAAGACAATTAAAATTAAACAAAAGATTTATATTTCAAATAAATGTTCCTTCTAATTTTCTATTCATCAAAGAAATCTGAAAATAAAATCTATCATGGTTTCCACATAAATATTGAATAAGTTTTTGATAAAACAACAAAGTAATAACTATAACTGAACACCAAAAATAACTGACAACAACTGAGCACCAAATCAGCATATTATGATTTCTGAAGGATCAAGTGACACTAATGACTGGAATAATGGCTGCTGAAAATTCAGCTTTGCCTTCACAGGAATAAATTACATTTTAAAATATATTCAAATAGAAAACAGTTATTTTAAGAGTATCAATATTTCACAGTATTACTGTTTTTACTTTTTCTAAACAGATGCAGCCTTGGTGAGCATAACGAACTTCTTTCAAATTCATAAAAAAATAATAATCATATGTATTCCAAGCTTTTGAATGCTAATGCATTTTATACAATTTTTAGCCTCTGTGTGAATATTTGTATGAACGGAGAGAGATAAAGAAAAGAGTTCACAGATGAGTGTGTATAATGATGGTCAGAGCTGTTATCAATCTATGTTTTAAGTGGCTAGTGGGCGGCAACTGATTCAAAGTGTTGCCTGATGTTGAAGAGCCAAAAAAAGTTACCTGCAGGCATGGCCGGACTTACCATTGGGCTTGAGTGGGCTGCAGCCCATGGGCCCCGCCTTGTAGGGGGCCCCACCTTTGCCCGTTTACGTTTGTTTGATTTGTTCGTTATATGCCAGTCAGAATTCAGAAATTATTAGCCGCATTTCCACTGCGCACGCAAGATCTAAACGGGCCAGCCGGCACTACAGCTTACAACTACGACCTTCGAGGCCACAATCAAACAACATAATCTGGTATTTATGATTATTTCACATAGAAGAAGGACGCACGTATTGAATCGCGTCTGCACCTATTGGTTTGTTATCACATGGCTACTTTAAACAGCTCCTTTAAGCAATTAGCCCCAAAGAGCGCATATAGAAAGAAAATGATAAATTCTCAAATGTTCAGACCTCATTTCTTTACAGAGGATGATTCTATGTTACTATATTAATGTTCCACTAAATTATGCGATCATCTGATGAGTTTTGAGCGCTCTTTCTTGTCTTACTACCATTACACATAGTGGGGAAGAAATGTCATCAAAATTATTTTAATTGAAAAATTAGCAATTTAATGAGTTTCTGTTTTTATCTGTGCCTATAATATAGGACTTAGCCTATCACACAAACAAGAGTCCTTTTTTTAATATCTGCATGATCGCAAATGTACAATAAACAACAACTTACAGAGTAACTTTCAGACACAAGATTCCGTTTTGCTTCGTCAGAAAGAAAATAGAACAAACAGCAGAACCGCTGCGTCTCCGAACAACAGTGTTTTGTTCCTCAGCGTTACACGGACCAGCATATGTTTCAATCAGGCTATAAGTATAGTCGTTTGCAAAGTTAAATGAATCAGCCTTTTAAATGAATCCGTTGATTCAACTCATTCATCAGGGATCCAGACTCATTCTTCCCACTGGTCACTCTTTTGCGACTAACTTTCTCAGTTGGTTGCACATGATTTGGTCGCAGATTAACATGATTAACAAAAACTAATAAGATGAGGCATGACACACCACATGCTGTATTATATACCGACTAATAAATTACAGAACGTTTTGCAAACACTGAGGAATCAAAATAAAAAATAAAAGAGAGCCTCCATAGCGTAACGTGCGGTAAACAGCAAAGATACAAGCTTTTCAAAATGAAAACAAAAAGATTTTACTTGTTCTATTTTTTATTATCTGTGTTTTTTGTTCTGTCACTGTCATTCTGTTACACTGTGGATGCTTCTGTCACGAAAACAAATTCCTCGTATGTGTAAACATACCTGGCAATAAAGCTCATTCTAATTCTGCTCATTCTGATGTTCACCTGCTCTGGTTTAAGAAGCGGTATTTTACTTTACTTTAGCATGAAAACCATGCATCGTTTCCTCAATATTCGCATAATTTTTGCTGCGTGCACCTTCGCTCTCGTGCTGTATAAACCACACTCTACACTCGAAGTGCTGCGCAGTTCAAACGAGTAATGCGGTTTCGTTATGCTTTCAGCTTCGTTTGCCGTTTGATGTTTCTCATATGCAACAGAAATGGCAGCGCTTATGAGTTAAACAACGCGGTGCGACCCTCACAAAATCTAGTCACACAGGCAGAAAAAATGGTCGCAAAATGCGACCATTTGGTCGCAGTGTGGAGCCCTGCTTATTAATGGCGCTTTTCCACTGCGTGGTACAACTCGGCCGGGCACGGAACGGCTCGGCTTGGCTCGGTTTGCGTTTCCACTGCAGTTCAGTACCGCTTTAGAGTGGGCGGGATTATTCACATGTCGTTATAGTTGCGCCGCCTCTACTGCCGCGACTCCTAAAAAACTTTTTCATTCCGCGTCGCGTTCTGTTGTGTTTGTGTCGCAAGTTCAGTGACGCAGGTAGTGACGATTCTCTCCGGCAATCCATGATCAGCAGAGTTTACACGTCACGTTTTGGTAACGGTACGGTTCACTTGGAACCTCAACCGAGGTGGTACTAAAAAAAGTACCAGGTACCAGGTACTGTACCCAGTGGAAAACCCCCCAAAAGTGAACCGTACCGAGCTGTACCATGCAGTGGAAAAGCGCCATAAGACAGTCACAATTTTTATTCAGTTGAATTTATTGATTAAATAAGAACCTGACATAAGAGGACACAGATATGACAATAACTTTTATATTACTAATAAGCCAAAATCTCTGGGGTTTTTTGTTTGTTTTTTTTGCTCAAAGTTATTTCAGGGTTTTGGTCTCTCAACTGAGAGAACACATCCTGTTTATTATGAATATTTAATATTACATTTAAACTTTGACTATAGCCTAGACATGTTGCATATTAATTGTACTATTTATGAACCTCAAAGCATATGTTTGTGGATTTTGTGTTACTCCTTAATGATGTTCTATTTGAGGGCAATTGTAGTGTAGGTATAGGGCCCAAACATAACCTCAAGCCCAGGGGCCCCGCCCCCCTAAGTCCTACCCTGCCTGCAGGACCTTTCCTCTCTCCATCTCTCTCTTTTTCTCACCTATTTTCACCTTCCCTTTCCCCTCTTTTCTCACATCCATCATGAACTCATAAAAATAGGCTTCAGCGAGAGTAATTTCCTTTCAAATTTGATCACAAAGACTAGAACATGAAAAATGATCAGTAGGACTGCAGCCAGCACCCTCTTTTAAAAACGGGTTGATTATGCTTCAATGAGTAAAAAGTTAACCTTTTGAAAATTAAAATTGATTATATCTCTGTAGCGAGATAATATGGTCCTGCAGTGGGGATGTCTGAGAGCTCTGCTAAATGCTTCAGTGGTGTCATAACAGCGGGCTGGTGACAAGAGACCAGTGCAGCTCATTACCTTGTCAGAATTGACTTAGACACCAATGAGCTGCTTCTTTTAATTAAAGTATCGACAGGTGATGTCACAATCATTGACGTCACCTTAGCAAGACACAAAGCAAGAGAGCCAAAAAGAGTGTGGTAGCAGTGTGGATTAAATTTGTCATTGACTGTATAACAGTTGTGCATTCAGTAATATGCTTGAATGATATCATGCTTCTCATGATAACAGCTTCTCAGATCTGATTGGTTGAGCATTGTTCCTAGAGTTCTGGTATAATCATCCGATGTACATGGTACTTTTCACTGTTTATATCACTCTGCTGGTCTGTGTTTCCGTTTTCCAGACAAACTGGGTTCTGAGGACCAAAGGGGCCACAAGGGGGCCTGCAGAAATGTTTGGAGGAAAAAAAATGAATAAACAAATAATAATAATAATAGTTAATATTTACAGTGCTTGACATTATTATTGGTTGATTCTGCTAAAGACTGGTTAAATCATAATATTCTGTGTATCATGGCACAACACCCTTAGCAACATAATCAATTTAGCGTCAAAACTGTTCCATGTATTATGTATTTCAGCAAAATTAACTGTTTAATATTTATGTAATGAATTATGACCCCTGCTGGCGTTATTTTGCATCATTCACCTTTAATATTGAGGCCACACCCTTCCCCCATCAAAAAAAATCTTCTCATATGGGAGAAAGATTGATGTGTGTGCGTGTCTACGTGGAAGCCCACAGTTTCCGAAGTGCGGAGGGAATGTTACTGTATTTATTATTTTTCAATTTCAGGTATGGTACTGTATGTCCATCAATTTACACTGTAATGATGCTTGCAAACTCACGTTGTGCCGTGTATCAGTCTGTTTTAAAATATAACACGGAAAACAGACGTTTTCTCATGCTGCGAGATAAGCAGATGAATGTGTGTAAGAAAATATCATATATGGTGTTAAAAAAAATGACACAGCGGATGAAAACAGTCCCTATTTTCTGTTTTTATTTAAGCTCCATAAGATGAGGCATGTTAGGAACATTCTCTTGCCATGTACTGTCACTGTCAGGAACAGTTTTTTAGCGAAAGGATAGCATTTAATGAAATTGATTAAAAAAAGTAACATCAATACATACATTTTTGGTTTTAATATTTGTATTGTGTGATAGCCGTTTTATAAAAGCAATAAGGTACTCGAAGTGTGCTTACATGATATATTACACTTGAAATTAGGAATTATGTCACTCTTTCTGCAGGTTACGTCGTTTCACCAGTAGGTGACGATAAATGACTCTTAAAGGGGTCATATGACGTTGCTAAAAAAGAACATTATTTTGTGTATTTGGTGTAATGAAATGTGTTTATGTGGTTTAAGGTTCAAAAAACACATTATTTTCCACATACTGTACATTATTGTTTCTCCTCTATGCCCCGCCTTTCTGAAACGCATCGATTTTTACAAAGCTCATCGGTCTGAAAAGCGAGGTGTGCTCTGATTGGCCAGCTATCCAGTGCATTGTGATTGGCCGAATACCTCAAGCGTGTGACGGAAATGTTACGCCCCTTACCATATTGTGATGCCGTGTCCCGGAACAACGAGACAAAAACATTAAAACCCATTATAAATAAGGCATTTGTTGCATCCAATGGGGACATAATTACAGATTATAATGACTTACTTCTATTATAAATACTGTCTTTTTACGCGTTGCGTTGCCACGTAAACATAAAGCCATGTCTGCATTTGTGATTGGAGACGACAAACAACAAGCGCTACTCTACACTGCTCAAAACTCACGTTTGAATCATCAGTGGCAAATTCTTTAAATATGAAAATGTACTTACAGGCTGTGAGTCAGAACAGCTGGCATTGAAGGCTACTCTCCCAGGATCAGGAAACAGTCCTCCATAAAATGTGCTGCACACATCAGAATATTTGGGTTGAATTGTTCTGGAACAGTGTTGTAAATGCAACTTAACCACTGATTTCTAGTTGTGTCCTCTTTTGAAAGACCAAACAAAGTAGTTTCGCTTTCACAATGAAACAGTGTCTTCACGACATGGCAGCGGCGGCAGCAACAATAAAGTTACGCCTTCTTTCTTTGCGTGAACATTTGGGCGGCGTTATGCAAATCTTCCCACACAGTGACGTAGACGTGTAGGGGCTGGTTTAAATGAGGCAGTTTAGGAGGGTGTGGACTTTTTTAAAGAATATCTCTTTGGGTTTGAGACCTTAGTCTTTGCAACTTTAGGGATCTTATCTATTCACGAACAGCTTGTAACACTTCAAAGAGAAAGGAAAGCTTGAAATCTCATCATATGACCCCTTTAAGAGTGTGCCACTGAATCATTCAGTCTAAGGATTCATTCAAAAACTCTGATTCATTCAGGAATGAATCAAAGACTACGTTTTGCACAGAGAGACAGCTTTGTTTACAGCTATTTGTGTATGCTACTGAATGTTAACAACATTACCTTAATGTGCTGATGTCAAAGCAATATGTATTACTGCTTATAAGAAATAGAATGTTAATGTTAAATGGTTTTTGCCTTCTGTTCTAGCACAGTTCCTTATGTGTTTTTAGTATATAGATGTAGACTGTCAAAGGAGCGATGTGTGTAAACAACTTTGTGTATTGTGTGTGCACGCATCAGGTTTTGTTTGCATTGTGGGGACCAGCTGCAGTTGACATGATGCTTATTCATGCTAAATAATGTCTTTATGAACATGAACATTTTCAGGAAGGTTTCTGTAAGTTTTATATTTAGGGTTAAATGACAGACAATCATCATTATTTAGCATATAAAAACAAAATTCAATGGAAAGTCCCCACTATGACAGAAAAACAAACATATGTGTGTTTTAATGGCCATCCAGCAGTGTAAAGAAAGCTCCGAGCAGAGCGTCTGGCTGCTAATTGGTGGTAATAATGCTCTGATTGGTTCATTAAGGCAGAGTAAGCTTAGATGCAGGTTTTTGTTAATCACGCATCTGGCACTCCTTTAATTAAAGATGGGGGGGTCTGAATGTCTGCTAATTTCCACAGACTGTCTCCTCAATTAGTGCTTTTCTCACTCTCCATTCCTCTCTCGCCTTCTTTCTTACTGTGACTCACTCTCACACTTTCATTCTTTCCCCCCAGATACCCTCACAGAGTGTCCACACAATTGCCATGGCAACGGAGACTGTCGCTCGGGAACATGCCATTGTTTCCCAGGGTTCCTTGGGCCTGATTGCTCACGAGGTATGCTCTCTTACTCACGTGCGTGCACACACACGACTCTCCAGAGAAATAAACAACCAATGTCACTATTCATAATTGGTTTCAGATTGTCATTTGAGCAAGTACGGCTGGCTAGTACGCTTTGGTGGGACTCAATTCCCAAGCCTGAATGGCTTCTTATTACCAGGAAGAAGCAACAATTAGTTTTTTATTGTATTTGTTTTGTTTATATATTTGGTGATGGTGTTTTTTTTCTCATCTGTTTGCTTGCATTTTCTTTGTCTCTGTCTGGTTTACAAGCGTTTAGAGCTTATACAGTAGTAGATCTATAAAGAAATCACTTGAAAACTTCACCTGTTGAATGATATGATTGTCATAAACTATTTTCTGTCCTTTATCTTATTTCCCCAATTGCTTTTTGTTTTTCTATTCAAAGCCGCTTGTCCAGTGCTGTGTAGTGGCAATGGGCAGTACTCCAGGGGGCGCTGTCTTTGTTACAGCGGCTGGAAGGGGACAGAGTGTGACGTTCCTAGCAGCCAGTGCATCGATATTCACTGCAGCGGACACGGAATCTGCATTATGGGCACCTGCGCCTGCAACACAGGCTATAAAGGAGACAACTGTGAAGAAGGTCAGGGATACAAATCAACCACCAGTGGTTTTGTGACGCAAACTATCCTATCTGCTTACTTCAATATCCCTGCTTCAGTATTTTAAGAAAATATTTTAACATCAAAAACTGATTTTTATTTCTTGTGTCTCTTAAGAGACCATGTTTTCCAACTTCACAGCAAACCCTCCATGCAGTGGCCTGATGTTAGAAAACAGTTTATTTGTCATGCAGAGTTCAGCAGAATTTTTCATCTGTTTCCCTCCTTACAGACATCTCCAGCATCTCAAGTCTCAGTTCATAAGAGATCCATCAGAAGCCCTAATGGAAGCGTTTATCTAACACTGCTATTTCCAGCATTCTTGCCATTAAACCCCACTGCATTACACCATCAAAGATGTGCAAGATAATGTATTATCAACGTGATCGCTGATTACCCATTGGTTCGAGGGGGATTGATTTTTTTTTTCCTCTAGAAGTGTTTGAAAGCTCTGTCTCAGTGGACACAGACAGGCTTTTCACCAGACCTGATAAAAAGAGAGAAAGAGAGAGAGAGCAAGTGCAAGAGTGATACAGAAGGGCTTATTTGAGTGTTTGAGAGAGAGAACATTCTGTCCAGTTCATATTGCCTTTCAGCATCACTTTGCTTAATGAGGAGCCTAACGCCTTGTCTGTAGCCATCAAAGGAACTCTTCCTCCTGTGACCTTCCTTGATAATTTACTGTCCCTGCAATAATCATTACCCACGAGTTAATAGTTCAATATTCCAGAAACAATTGCCATTCTCCACTTCACAGAGCAAATAATTACATTGATGTCCCCACTGATGCGCAGGTCCCTTACCCATCAGCCTCGTGAGTGGGAAAAATGCTACATTACAATTGATTTTTCTTAATTAAGAAAATTAGCTTTGTGCATAGTGTTTATGCTACCGTGACTCGGCACGCAGCTTGTAGAGCACACAGTGTGCTGTGTTGATTTATTTTTCTCTAAGCCAAAAAGATTCCATTCCTGCAGCTCGACTGTAATGATTTGGCACAAGCAACAAAACACATACATCTCTATATCCAGAGAGAGACTGGCTAATGCAATTTATATAGGGATAATATGTTAAAAATGCTGCCAGAAATGTTCTGGTCATGAATTGGCTTGTTGTCAATCAATGGCAGGATTAAGCCCCATCAACTACCTCACAATCAGAGGAATTAAGGGTTGCTGAACCTCAGTCCTCTAGCAGGGGCTATTAAACATAAACACAAACACACCTGCACAGTAGCCCCTCATGGCTTTTGAAAAGGAATGTGTAGCACTGTCCCACTCTGCAAATTCAGCCCCACTTGCTCTGCAGTCACCTAAAAACTGCTTTTCCATCTGTGGGAAAGTAGTGGACTTCTGCCTACGAGAATAAAAGATCCCTAGCACATTCTTTGAGAGCACATTGAGCAGCACACAGATCATGCTTTGCTACATGTACTGTCTGAATCTGCTTATAATGTGTGTGCACTGGAACAGGGGGGTTTTGAAAGCCATATAATGTGAAGCTTATGCTATGCACACTTTGACATTAGCATGATGGATTCCATTGAGATGAGAGAATTAAAAAAAATAATGTATTACTGTAAAAACATCACATATGTTTCACATTAACCTACTATTGCGCAATGTTCCCTCAGGTTAACAAACTCATTTTATTTACTTTGCAAGCAAACAATGCATTTATGCATAAGACAGTAAAAACACAGTACATCCTGGCTTTTTTTTTTTATGTGACCTGATTCACATTTGTTAGAGCATAACAATTTTTTTATCATTTAGAATGGTATAAATTATTTGAGTTGTTGCTGAAATTTGTCTAAAAGCAAGTGCAATAGTAGAATGGATATGGATACAGCAAATGAGAATATTGCAGTAATGTTATGTTTATTTGATGTTGTTTTTGTCTTTTCTATTATTTTAGTAACTGTCTATTTAGTATTAAAGTATTAAGTACTGTCTATTTACTTTTTTGTAAAATATTAACATTGTATAAACATGTTAACATTTTAAGTAAAACAATAATTTAAGCTATGAGTCACTTCTTAGACTTTCATGTATCCACAACATTTTTAATTTCGTTCCATTGCTGCATAGTGTTGCCCTTCGTACAAAGTGACCTGAAAAGACTCCTCCATTTATTATTTCAAAGTCTATTTTTGTTTTTAATAATAAAGTCTTTATGCAAGAAAATTGATTAAAAAATAATGCATGCATGGTTTTGCTAACCTGCTAACTAAGACTTTTTGCTTTTTTCCCCAAACGCACACAGTGGATTGCCTGGACCCCTCCTGTTCATCTCACGGAGTGTGCATTCACGGAGAGTGCCACTGCAATCCAGGATGGGGCGGCAACAACTGTGAGATCCTGAAGACTATGTGCCCAGACCAGTGCTCGGGACACGGAACCTACCAGACGGAGAGCGGCACCTGCACCTGTGATACCAACTGGACTGGACCCGATTGCTCCATCGGTACCTTTTATACACTTCTGCACCCACCTCTTTAATATGTCGTTCTTTCCACTGTATTATTTTTTATCATGCTTTGTTTTATACACTGATTAGCTGCTTATTGTTGTTAAGGGCATTAACAGGCTGTTATTTCAGATTTTCTGTCCTCCTCTCTATTTAATCTGTCAGCAGACCTTCTAAAAGGCACGTTTGAGTCAACCTTAAATACACTATCATTATGAAATATCTCTCAGTCCATCAAAAGCTCAGCGGCAGCTAGTGTGGTATGTGTGTGCACATCTTATGTTTGTGCGAGTGACGATACTGATCTCCGTAATAAGAGCAGTATTGGACTCCTGCTGTTTTAGGACTCACCCATGGTCGGCCTTTTAGTTATACAATGCTATTTTCCCAGCAGCAATCTGTGTCTAATGAAAATACTATTTCACTCAAGTGCCCCACACAGCAATCTCTTTCTCACTCTTGCTTTTTCTCTCTGTCCTTTTCTTTCCTATCCCTTTTCGTTTGAGGAAGAACTACCTGATGTCTTTGTAGACCATCACTTCCCTCCCTTCCATTAATTAGACGTACATCTTCAATTAGTGAAGTGCTAATGAATGAAGCCTGCATGCTCCCCCTCTTTCACGTTGACGGCTGCATTGCTGTGCTGTGGTAAATGCTGATAAACGCCTTTAGTGTGGGGACGGGTTTTGATTGAATAGACGACAATGCTCTCAAAAAGGCTGATAAAATTTGTATTGCCCCTTTTGTCTTAGATAATGATAGGGTGAGAAAAATTAAATACAGAGGGCGAGAGGAAGGCATGTGTCTACAGAAGTGTCATGGCTATTCACACATGTGCCCCCTCAGATTCTTTTTTTTTTTTTTCGAGCCTAAAAATTTTAAATGTTCTTTTTAATTCAAATTATACATATTAGATATCATTTATCAATATCATTATTATTATTGTTACAATTATTTTAAAGAAACAAAAGGAACTGGAAATATTCTTGGGTAACGCTTTACAATAAAGTTCTTGTTGTTAATACAATGGAGAACATGAAATATAGAACAACACTGCTTAGTGGCATTTGTTAGTTTTGATCATTTCTGTATACTCTAATACATCTTTTAACAGTTTAACTTCATAAATGAATGTATAATTTAACATTTGGTTCATGTATTATGAACAAACTAACTTTTCAAGTTATAATTTTAGTTATAATAAACTAAGGTTTAAATTAAAAGTATTTAATGTATTATGAACAAACATAAATGAGCAATGAACACTAGTGTATTTATACATTTACAGACTATTAATATTGTACATGCTGTAAAAATGTTCATTGTTAGTTCATGATACCTAATGCGTTGACTTATGTAATGAACTGAATATGAAAGAGTTACCGAACCATAATATTAATTATGATAGCTGTTTTGCTTTTTAGTCTATACTTTGTTCTGTTTTACAGATTTAACAAAGCACATTGAGAATCAATGTACTAAACTAACCCTTCTTATAATTATATAAAGAGCTAAGATGGTTAAAAATGTCATGTTTCAACTAGGACACCGAATAAGCCAGGAATGGCCCCTCATAAAATTAGGTGCATGACGCCCTGTGCAACAGGGACACATTTAGGCAATCGGTCCACACACTCTGGCCGCAACTTCTGCAAAGACAGTAATCCAGATTGATATAGTACAGTTGCAGCCGGCTTGTGGCTCGAGCCGTCAGTTTTCCAGAAGCACTTCCCAGCAGCTGCTCTCCATCTGTCTGTGTGAACTTTTTCCTTGTATGCAGTCTCTCTCTCTTTCAATCACATTCCCGCTCTGAGGATAAAACACACAGGCGCCCACACAATCACGCCGAAGGGGTGCGTCACTCCTGTCCACCTGCAGGAGGCATAATAACAGCACGCAGCAGGGAAGTCAACCACAAACGGGCACTCACCTGACCCAAGGGTTGATGGGAAATTCTCTCTATTTCTTCACTTCAGGTTCCTTGTCTCAATACACTTTCAGCAGCTCTGGCTGAGTGTCATGTCATGGTTTCACACCTTGTCAGGAAGTGCTGCACAAAGAGTCAGAGAGGTGGTTGAGGGAAGGTGTTTAACAATACCCCATCCCATGATTTTGTCTTTATCAAGAAATGTCTTTCTAGTGCTTTGTTTCTTCCGTGACAGGGTGTGTCAGGCTGCGAGGCTCTGGTGGAATGGTGTGTGGGCTGTTAAACTACAGCTTGCTTTGCGCCAGTCTGTCTTCATCTACTGTTCTGCCAAACCCACACACGTCTACAGGCACACGTTCACAAACTCATAAACCGATTCCAAATCACTATCAGACACTTTTCGCAGGATATCATTCAAAATGCACCCAATTTTCCCTCATCAGCTTTTGTTGCCAGTTGCATCCACGCCCAGATATGACAAACACAAAACTAGTTTCTATTGACAAAAAAGTGCAATTTCTTTATGGAAGCTTTTGTCAATAGAGAATCTTTTTCTGTAAACATGGCAAAAAAAAATGAAGAGTACAAACCTGCAAAGAGAAATGCTAATAAAGCACTTCCATGATAGGTTCGATCCCAAAAGCCATTCAAACGCACTCCTGGTATTTGGCAGACCGTGGAGTGTGTATAAATTGATTTATTTGGGCTTGATGTGTTTTCTTCAATCTATGTGGGAGGCCTGTCTTCTGGGTCTGGGTGGAAAGTTCAGTGTGTCATTTCACATCCATGTCTGCATGCTCTGATGTCTCGTTCTCTTCCCCCAGTCACACACCTTTAGCCAGCACCCTTCCGCCAAAGTCTCCATGAGGAGCGCATGCACTCCAGTGGGTCAGACAAGGTCGAGATATGTCGAGATATATGAGATATGTTATGGGGTGTCGGTTGAGGTGGGGCAGACAATCTCCCCACCGCCACACAGGCCGCTTGACCCAGCAGGGGTCCCCAATTATCTATTTCCTGTCATAAGTTTTTCACACTTAAAGTCAATAACTTAGACATGACTGTTCTCAGGAATGTAACCTCTGCTCTTGTTATTTTGAGTAGAGGAGACTTGTGCTTGAAATGTGCTACCATGTTGTAGAACATATGACCTTTTATAGTCCTTAGCTATGGTGCAGCCCAGATCAAAAAGTGATTTAAATTTTTTTCGCCTTTGTTTGTGTTTGCAGAGGTGTGTGCAGTGGACTGTGGCTCTCACGGTGTGTGTATTGGAGGAAGCTGTCGCTGTGAAGAGGGCTGGACCGGTTCGGTATGCGATCTGAAAGCTTGTCACTCACGCTGCACTGAACACGGTACCTGCAAGGACGGCAAATGCGAATGTCACCAGGGCTGGACCGGTGAACATTGCACCGTTGGTAAGACACATAATCATCTGTTTGTCAGTATTAACACACTACATGGCCAAAAGAATGTGGATACACTGTTTTTAACAAATTTGGCTTCTTAATTCAAATGAATTTCAGAGGCCTTTTATTGATCCAGCATAACATGCTCCTGTGTGTAAGCTAATTCAATAAAAAAGTAAGTCTGGTGTGGAAGAACTCGACTAGCCTGCTCAAAACTCAGACCTAAACTCCACTGAAAACCTTTGGGATGAATTCGGAAGGGCCCATTGCCTAACATCAGCATCTGACCTTGCTGATTTCTCTTGTGTCTGAATGGGAGCAAATCCCACAGCCATATTGCAACATCTAGTGGAAAGGCTTCCCAGAAAAATGTAAGAAATAGGAGTGAAAACTTTATGCCAAAGGTTTTTTAATTAAATGCTTAACAAGTATATATGGATGGTGTTTAGGTGTCCACATACTTTTTTGCCATATAGTGTACTTGCATGATGTGTACACAGTATTTTCTCTGATTTTTTCCAGCTGGTTTTGATGCGTTTGTATTGAAGCTATTTGCTATATTTGTTATGAAGGTTTACCTCACATCTTTGAACTTGTTTTGATTGCATATTCCCTTTGTTTTTCTGCCTTTCCTCCACCTGCTTTGGCTCTTCCATCTCAACAGGAAGTGGGCTATGAGTGTTTGTTCTGTTTTGTACCTTCCCCCTGACCTTTGCTTGCTATCAAAGCAATGACATTTTCATTGCCGTTGATTTAGGCATCCACAGGGAAACACCTATTCTAAACGACAGCAAGGTCTCCTTACACAATCACTAAACTCTGCATTAGTTAAATCTCAAAGAAACAAAGTCATGGTATATTTGTATATTTATAAAAAAGTATTTTATATATATATATATTAGCAAAGTATTATATATATATATATATATATATACACACAGTGCTGCTTGAAAGTTTGTGAACCCTTTAGAATTTTCTATATTTCTGCATAAATATGACCCAAAACGTAATTAGATTTTCACACAAATCCTGAAAGTAGACAAAGAGAATCCAATCAAACAAAGGAGACAAAAATATATACTTTGTCATTTATTTATTGAGAAAAATGAGTGGCAAAAGATCTTTGCTTTCAGTATCTGGTGTGACCCCCTTTTGCAGCAATAACTGCAAGTAACGTTTCTTGTAACTGCTTATCAGCCCTGCACAATGGCTTGTAGGAATTTTAGCCCATTCCTCAGTACAGAAACACTTCAACTCTGTGATGTTGATGGGTTTCCTCCTATGAACTACTTGCTCCAGGTCCTTCCACAAACTTTCAATTGGATTAAGGCCCGGAATTTTACTCAGTCATTCCAAAACATTAACGTTGTTCTTCTTTAACCATTATTTGGTTGACTAAGAATGACTTGTGTGCTTCGGATCGTTGTCTTGCTGCATGACCCACTTTCTATTGAGATTCAGTTCTCGGACAGATGCCCTGACATTTTCCTTCAGAATTTGCTGGTATAATTCAGAATTTGTTGTTCCATCAATGATGGCAAGCCGTCCTGGACCAGATGCAGCAAAACAGGCCCAAACCATGTTACTACCACCACCATGTTTCACAGATGGGATAAGGTTCTTATGCTGGAATGCAGTGTTTTCTTTCTCTAAACATAACGCTGCTCATTTAAACCAAAATGTTCTGTTTTGGTCTCATCCATCCACAAAACATTCATCCAGTATTCCTCTGGCTTGTCCACGTGATCTTTAGCAGACTGCAAATGGGCAGCAATGTTCTTTTTGGAGAGCAGTGGCTTTCTTCTTGCGACTCTGCCATGGACACCGTGGTTGTTCAGTGTTCTCCTGATGATGGGCTCATAAACATTAACATTAGCCAATGTGAGAAATGCCTTTAGTTGCTTAGAAGTTAGCATGCAGTCCTTTGAAACCTAGTGGACTTTTACATGTCTTGTGAGTGTTGAGTGTTCTTTGTTGGTGGACCACTCCTGGGGAGGGTAACAGTGGTCTTGAATTTCCTCCATTTGTACACAATCTGTCTGCCTGTGGATTGGTGGAGTCCAAACCCTTTAGAGATGGCTTTGAAACCTTTTCTAGCCTGTTGAGCAGCACCAATTCTTTTTCTGAGGTCCTCAGAGATCTCATTTGTTTGTGCCGTGATACACTTCCACAAACATGACAAAACTTTGAGAAATCCCTGTTCTTTAAATAAAACAGGACACACACTGACACCTGATAGTCATCTCACTGATTAAAAACACCTCTGAACAGATGGACTCTAATTTCACCTTCAAATTAACAGCTAATCCTAGAGATTCACACACTTTTGCCGCTTACAGATATGTAATTTTCCTGAATAAATAAATGACAAAATATATATTTTCATCTCATTTGTTTGACTGGGTTCTCTTTGTCAACTTTCAGGACAAAGCATGCATGAAATCTTGCATGAAAATCTGATGATTTTTTGGGTTATATTTATGCAGAAATATAGACAATTCTAGCAGCACTGTAAACTTTCAAGCAGCACTGTAAATTGGTCTCTTCATTAGAAATTAGCCTACTGATTGCCACCATCGATGGACAAAAAATTTAATAATATTTAAAATATCTGTATGACAGTATATTCTGCAGTTCTTCCCTGCTGTACCAAATATCTATACTTTTCAAAGTATCATATCGAAATTATCACAATTCAAGTATTGTGACAAAATTAATTTTGTAGGGTGCCACAAATTTGTTAACATTTCCAAAGGGTGCCGCGACTAAAAAAAAGGCTGGGAAACACTGGGCTATAATATACACCATTATTCAAAAGGGGGTCAGTTAGATATTAAATGGTTTTGAAATAAATTTTCTGCTTAGCAAGGCTGCATTTATTTGATCAAAAATACAGTATCTACACTCTAAAAAAATCCGGGGTTGTTTTTTTAACCCAAATGCTGGGTTGAGCATTTTGGGTCAATTTTTTTGGTTATTTTTTCAGTGTTTGGGTAGTTTTTGTGTTACCCAGCTCCTGGGTCAAATGTAGCCTAACAACCCAATGATTGGGTAGTTTTTTTTAGTGTTACCCAACTCCTGGGTCAGACATAACAACCCAATGTTTGG